GGCCAACCTGGCCAGGCAAAGTCCAGCTGGCAGCTCCATGCTGCTCCCTCCCTCACTGACACCCCCAGGGCCCAGCCCCACAACACACAAAGAAATTGAAATTCTGTTCTATAGCACCTTCAGCTAATAGCCAATTTGACAAGGGTTAATTTTCTGTGCGATCAGCCGTTTTCAAAGTGCTCTGCCGCCATGCATGTGTAACGGCTGTAGGGTGCTTTCGGGGGCCCAACTGCACAAAAAAATTAACTTGTGTAAGCACCCTAAGAAAGAAGCAGAGATAAGTTGGATGCATTTCTTAAAAGGCAACTCCAGAGATGGGATAGCCTCCCTTTGTAACACTGTGAAGAGGGTGTAAAGACACTGATTTTTGGCAAGGAAACAGCAAGTGGGCAAGGCAAAGAAATGAGGCTAGTGTAACTATGAACTATGAAACTATTAAACTAGTGGGTTGGGGAAAAAGAACCAAAAAAAATCAAAGAATAAAGTGGCTGGTAGGCATCTGGCTGGGATCATCTGACCCCAGCCCTCTTTCTTGCCTAGGCAGGGGGTTGGACTTGATCTGTTGAGGTCCCTTCCAACCCTAACATCTATGAATCTATGAAACTTGCTAGGTCCTGATCCCAGCCTGCAATCTACTGGGAGCTGGAGGGAAAAAAGGTACATTAATTTTGCCAGTATGTAAACTGACCACAAAAGAGCTGCCTATGAAAAGCAGAAGAAAGTGATCTCAGAGGTAACATTGAAACGCTTAGCTTCAGAAAAGCAGGTTTAAATAATGAGGAAAAACTGCTAGAATCAGCTCAAGGAAAATGGGAAATTAAAAACCCACAGTAACAGAAGGAAAACTGCTAACTAATGTTCTATTAATCACAGGGGCTGTATATTCTCCAGAACAAGCATTAATAGGAACGTAACCAAGCTCATTCAATCCAAAACCTACTAAAAATAGATAAGGCATCCCAAGTGATAACTGAACAGAATTAACTTGGCAGAAACCTTAAGGGTAAGAATATGAATAGCCAAAACACACTTTACTTTGTATGGTGTTTCTGTCTCTCTAAAATGCATCTAAAAGTCTTTTCTTTAAAAAACAGCAGACGGCAAACTGCGAGACTATCATTTTATCTTGATCTAGACAAGATAATATGACCAATTGCTGTCAGTAATGGGTTCAATTGAACTAGTGGTGACTGTGATCTTCCTGTAATTAGAGACAAACAGTGCTCCCCACTACTTCAGTCACAGGTTAATCTTTGAAGCTAAGAGCTGCTAGCTTACAGGACAACTTTTGATAGCTGTCCCTTTTCCTTTCCCTGCGCTCCCCGAGTTGTTAGGACTCGGATCTTAACTCTCTTGGGGTAGAATTCCACAATCCCCCTCCTCTCAGACCAGGCCACAGGCTACAATACTTACTTACCCAGCAAGTCCACATAAGTTCAGGGTCCATTCTTCCCTGCAGCAGTCTGCAACCAGTAGGTGCAGCAAGCACAGCACCTTCTTAAACCACAGTACTATTTATTCTAGCAGCAAGAACAACAGTGCTATAAAGAAGAGACACTACAGCAGGGGTGGGCAAAATATGGCCTGTGGGCTGGATCTGGCTCATCGAGGGATTTTGTGGGTCCCACCCAGCCCAGGTGCAGGGGTAGCCCAAGCCACAGTACGTGTGGCCAGTCCTGCTGCCCCCAGACATGCAGCGGGGCTGATGTGGTGCGGTGGCCAGACTTGCTTCCCGGCAGCCGCTGCAGCTTTTCCCAGCTGCTGCCACCTCTGGACCCAGCCATGCTTCCCCATTACCCCAGCGAGTCTGCCCTGCACCCACTGCTGAGAGCGGGACTTGCTTAAGCAGCAGGGGGGATGGGATGGAACGGGACAGGACAGGATGGGGATGGGCAGGCGGGGAGCAGCGTTTGGGAGCAGGGCAGTGGGCAAGGCAGGATCCTGGGGCGAGATCGCAGGGTGGTGACAGTGTGGGGCCAAGGCCATAATCTGCTCCCCACATACCCCTGCAACGGGTGCAGGTTCCACAGGCAGGGGCATGTGAGGAGCAGATCATGGCTGTGCCCCAGCCATGGCTCCATGCTGTCACTGCCCTAAGATCCCAGCCACAGCCCCAGCCCACCCATGGCCCCATCCCATCTGCCCGGCCACTTGCTCTGCCCACGTGAGTCCTGGCTGGAGGCCCCAAGATTGCAAGGTGGTAACAATGTGGGGCCAGGGCTGGGCCCTGCGATTCCACCCCCAGCCCTGCCCGCCCACACTGTTCCCAGATGCTGCTTCTGGCCTGCCTGGGGCCCCCATCTTGGCCAAGCACAAAGCAGAGCCATGATCCGCTGCCCACCTGCCCCTGCGACAGGGGACAGCTCTACAAGCAGAGGCCTGTGGGGAGCAGCCTTTCCCCAGGCCCCACCCCTGTGTTGTCTCTGCCCTGCAATCCTGGGATCTCCAGGGAGACTGGCTGAGACCTACGTGGGCAGGACGCCTGACCAGGCGGATGGCATGGGGCCACTTAGGGATTTTTGGTGATCTGTTGCACCGAGGGGTGGGGTTACCTGGCCCACAGCAGCTCAAAATTTCCCATGTGGCCGCCAGGCCCAAATAATTGCCCACCCCTGAACTACCATCTGTGCTCTAAGCAGGCTTACCCTATATACCAATCCACACTTGTTTTCTCCCCCATTAACAGCATCATTAAATACACCCCGGGGAAATACACAGTTATGTGCCGACACAATTATGTGCATAAAATGCATGGCCGTGCATAATTTTGCATAATTTAACGCAGGTGTGCTTTGTGCCTCCACCTCCACAGGTGAAGGCACCAAGCTGGGTGCGCCTGGACAGCTGTTAAGTCAGGAGAAGTGCTCCTGCCTGGAGTTGGGGTGTGTGGGGGTGTGCATGGGCCACATGCTATGGGGCTGGCTGGCACCCTGCCTCCACGTGGGGCTTCCAGCACTCCAGCCCAGGCAGTTGGCGTGCAACTCCATGCCTCCACGTGCAGCTTCCCACCGGAATGCTGGAAACCCTATGCAGAGGGACAGAGCCCACTTGGTCCGATGGGCATGCAACTCCTGGTCTGTGTGCCATTGGGCCAGGCCGGACAGACTCTGCGCTTCCACGTGGGGCATCCAACACTTGAGCAGGAAGCTGCACATCGAGGAATGGAGCCCACTCACCCCAATGGTGTGCGATTCTGTGCTCCCATATGCAGCTTCCCACGATTGCTGGAAGCCCCACGTGGAGGCATGGAGCAGGCCTGGCCTGATGGCACACAACTCCCACCTGCAGCGTTGGAAGCCCCACATGCTGGCACAGAGCCATCCTGATTTGGTTCAAAGGCATGCACCACCAAGCCGGGTCGAGCCGTCTCTGTGCTGCCATGTGTAGCCCCTGGGACTCAGTCGGAGCCATGCGCCACTGGGGCTCTGCCTTCCATAGCCATGAGCACCTAAGGGCCTGCCACCTGCTGCTCCTGCTGAGCTGCCAGTGGCAGATGCTGTACACCATGAGGGGCCCACACCCACCCACAAACCTCACTACCTCACACCCCCCCACACACCCACAAACCTCACACCCCATACACTCCTATACCTACCCCCCACCTGTCAGTAAACCCCACATACTCCCATATACTCACACCCCCCAACACCTCCCACTCCACAACCATACAAGGTACCTGCATATATTTCTAAAGACTGTTCAAATAATGTTATAGTTAGTTTAATTTGTTTTTTTTAAAAGCAATTTTTCTGCGCATAATTTTGAATTTTTCTGCGCATAATTCCCCAGGGTGTAATTAGATTTGCACCTGTCCTAGATAAATAAGGCTGCAATGGTGAATCTGTCAGCATAAACACAGTCAAAGTTTAGAAAAAATGAAGGGACTTAAATTTTAACAATTATGAACCAAGTAAAAGTTACACCACAGATCCATGAATTCCAATTTCCCCGATTCACTTGATGCAACGTAAAATCTTGTCAGAAGGCAAGAGCTGGACCCACATGACAGCTACTCAAACTGAAATTAAATTATGCACCCCTTTCACTCATGGCATTTGTTCAGCTGCAAAATCTATTCAAAGTGCTATGCAGAACGAGGAACACTGCTCTAATCTTGTCTCACTAGTACTAAAAGTTCCAAATAGTGAAAGACGGAAAACAGCACATGAATCCAGGCCTGCTTAGTACTTACCCAAGTTTTTTTATTAACATTTCAACAGTTCAAGGATCAGTCAGGGTCTCTGCTCATTAAATTGTACTGTTATTACTGGCAACATACATCCAACAAGAGCTATTTTAGACTACTTGGTTAGTATAACAACAGGTGCAGGCCCAAGGAAAGGAAATAAATTCTTTATTTGTCAAACAACACAATATTAACAACCAGCAACACTGGAATTTGTTTTGACAACAGTTCTATTCTTTTTTTTTTTTTTTTTTTTTTTTTTTTACAGCAATAGCTTCTATGAAAGCTACATTATATATAAAATTTGCAAGGAAGCTGACATGTTAAATAATATTCTCAAGGACATGCAAGTCAATGGTCCCAGTTGCATTATCACTGTCCACTGTTTGTTTTTTTTCTTTGTTAACTGAGGGCAAAGCCTGGCTTTGTGATGCAATGTAACAAAGATATGTATTGTGGGATCAACACCATAATTATCCTCTTAAATAAATCTCAGACCTGTTTGTCCAACTTACATTAGAAACCACAGAGGAGTCTGTAGATGTAGAAGAAAGCTGACGAAAAAGAATGGAAATAAGTTGGCTGTACCAACCAATTAAATGCATATTCCAAATAATTAGTATTAAAAACAAATGTAATTTTATTAATAAAAAGTATGACACTATAGGGAATGCAGCTTTTCAGACCAGCACTATCAGTATGGCTAAAACATCTGTTTGTGAGCGGTTTTCTCTGGAGGTTGCAATACATGTCAGCTGTATACGTGTCTTAGATCAGTATTTACAAAACATCAGAATCAAAAGATTTTAGCTTATTTTACATACGTCAAGCCACTCATATGTTTTTAAGCCTGAAGAATGAATGCATATGAAAGCAAAATTATGGTAATAATTCCGAGTGGAAGCCTGACAAATGAACTAGGTTTTTTATTTTGTCATTTAGAAAATAAATGAGCTCAAATCGGAATTTCCATAGGCAGAGTCTTTCTGCAAGCAACAAAATACTTAGGCCTGGCAAAACATGCACGTCCTCCACATTACAGGCAAAATCAAGTCCAAAGACCTATTAGCAGATAACATAACGGACAAGCCGTGAGCCACGGACTTCTCGCACTCTCTGGCAGTGGCGCAGGATGTTCAGGATGCTATAAAAGCGCTTGTCCACCTTCAGTTGAGTGAATTCTTTGATATCAGCTTCCACAATAAAAAACTCACCTGGAAAACAAGCAGTCCAATTTAAAACAATTAAAAATAGCAACTCACGTAGCACCAGGGCATAACAGAAATCATCAACACTTTTGCACTGGCAGGGGGGACCCTTTCAAAAAGAAGTAGGGAACTAAATTGTATAGATAGTCTAGAAGCCATCAGCCCCCACGATGGCAGCTGGTGTCAGAGAGACAGTGGACATTGGTACTGTGGTAGGGACATTTAATCCAATGGAGAGCAGAAGGGGGTTCCATCCTTGTCCAAACTTGAAGATGCCCTCAGCTTTGAATACTCCCTTGGTAACAAGATGGAGAGTCCTATATGCTGATGCAAAAGAAAGCTGATGGTGAAGCATCATCAGAAAGCAAAGCTGATGGTGTCAACATACCAAGTAACAATATGCTCAGGGCTGATGCAAACTGCACTGAGGAGGACTGGGAGAAATGAGGATGGCACTGAGGTCACTTCTGCCCTTGGTACCAGCTGTAGTTGCCAGAACCATAGTAACATGCTCTGTTAGAAACCAGCATAGGCCACAGCCTTGCCTCGCAAAGGGGCCAGTGACATGCTTGGGCTCTTCTTTTATTGAGAACTCCTGGCTTGCCCCTGCTTTTCTCTAGAGAAGCAAAAGTCTTTTCTCTGAGGACATGGCTTTTACGGTACTCCAAATCTGAAGCTGGAACGGCCTTGGAAGATGGAGCCCAGGAGCTAATGGATCCAAAGCTCTTAGGGGAACTTCTGAATTGAGGAGGAGTTTCTCCAGGGCAGTCTGCCTTGTTCAAATCAGAGGTTGGTCACATGAAATGGTCTACAAAAAATATTTTTAAAAGTGCCAGGTGGCTTCATTCTGCTGTTCATGCCCTGGGTGTGGGGAAAGGGCATTCAATGCATACAGCAGTCCCAACACATGCTACTACCTAAAATATACCATCTTGGGTGTGCACGTCCCACAGAGACATGCAGATGGATAAATTCTTGAAAAAAGTGATCAACTGCTCATGCCTGAAATAACTTGTTAAATACTAAAGTGGATTTAGAAATGCAAATATAGTCATAGAGAAGTAGGGCTGGAAAGGATCTCCAGAGATCATCTAATCCAAACCTGTGCCTGAGGCAGGATCACCTCTATCCAAATTATCCCATACAACCAAAATCTAAGCTCTACAAAACACTATCCTCAATCCTGACACAACATAGACCTAACTTGCCGACAACACCAAACTCTGGGGTAAAGCATCTACACCTGAGGATAGGAGGGTGATCCAGGTGGATCTGGACAGACTCATGAAATGGGCAGACAAGAACCTGATGGTGTTCAACACCAAAAAATGCAAGGTTCTCCACCAAAAAATGCAAGGGAGAAAAAACCTGCAGCATGCTTATAAGCTCAGCAGTGCTACGTTGGTTAGCATTACAGATGAAAGGGACTTGGGGGTCATGGTTGACCACAAGATGAACATGAGCCTTCAGTGTGATGCTGCAGCTAGTAAAGAAAGCAAAATGCTGGCTTGCATCTGTAGATGCTTTTCAAGCAAATCCTGGGACGTCATTCTCCTGCTGTACTCGGCCTTGGTGAGGCCACAGCTGGAGTACTGCGTCCAGTTTTGGGCTCCACAATTCAAAAAGGATGTGGAGAAGCTTGAGAGGGTGCAGAGGAGAGCCATGCACATGATCAGAGGTCAGGAAAACAGACCGTATGATGAGAGGCTG